TACGGATACCCCTGACGGACCGTTCCAAAAATGTGCGCTAGACATCGTGGGACCACTTACGGTGACGACCGCAGGTAATAAGTACATACTGACCTTCCAGGATAGTCTAACCAAATTCAGTAAAGCCATCCTGTTGCCAAACCAGGAAGCGGCGTCGGTGGCGAAGGCATTCGTGACTCGAATAATAGTAGAGCACGGAACACCGGAAAAAATCCTGACGGATCAGGGCACTAATTTCACGAGCGAACTATTAAAAAATGTATGCAAGTTATTGAAGATCACAAAGATTCAAACAACAGCATATCACCCGGAGAGTAACGGTGCGTTGGAACGTTCTCACCGTACTCTCGCGGAATATTTAAGGCACTATATTAACGAGGAACAGTCTGATTGGGACGAATGGCTGCCCTACGCGATGTTTGCGTATAATACGACACCGCACACAGCCACGGGATTGACACCGTTTGAGCTCATGTACGGGCATCGTGCCCACAGCGCTCACGAAACCACCGAAACAAACGTATTCGTACGATAATTATGCGCAGGAATTACGAGAAAGATTACGCGCCGCGAATCAAATTGCGAAAGGAAACGCGCAACAGGCGAAACAACAAGCAAAGAAACAATATGATAAAAGTGTAAAAAGGGAAATCTTCGAGATAGAGGACAAAGTCCTGCTTTACAACGAAGCTTTGAGAAGGGGACGCTCAAAGAAATTAGAATCCCAATGGGCAGGACCTTACACGATATTGGAGAAACATAACGAAGTAAATTTCACAATAAAAAGGGGACGGAGAACCCTACGCGGACATGCGAATCGCCTTAAACATTTTGTGGAAAATTAGCCATAGAGCAAAAGCAAAAGCTAAAATTGAAAAAAAGGGGGGATTAGCAGATGGCGATAGAAATAAGAGAGCGTTACTAAATAGAGAAAACACTTACCTTAAAACAAAGAGTAAGGTGGGGAAAGCTCCACCACCGTACGCTGACCTGTCCGCACGTACAGGGTCATACAAAGCCTCCGGTCCGGGCTAGGGGACCGCGGCGTGATCGCCGCGTTAATCCGCTCTGTAAGGGACCGCCGGTCCGTAACCGATCGCTTAGGTGGCGGAGTGCCGGGGGGAATACGAGGCGTACGACGGGCAGCGTTCAACCAGTACGTGCGTAAGCACGTGTCGCACACACTAGGCGCAAAATACAAATTGCAACACAGACACCTCATGATTTGGCAAACGAATGCCACGAGGACTCTATGCAAGCGTACCCGACGGAAACTCGGAGCGCACTAAGAACTCGTCAAAAGATTTGCGATGGCGTAACGAAATGTAAGGCAAGGATTCAAGGAATAGTAATCCTTACTTCGCAGGTTACTCGCAACGTGATACCAGGTGAAAACGACACCGGTACCAACACACCCCCCATACCGCTGGGAAGAGTTCATTCACACACCGGGGATCTACTACGAGGAGACAGGACT